GCAGGCGCTTTGAAGAGGGTATAGCCAAGAATATAAAGAGTGATGTGAAAACTTTCTGGAAATACGTGAAGTCGAGGGTAAAGGCGAGAATACCCATTGGAGATATACTCACCCCAGATGGCAAAAGAGCAGTAGAAGATGAGGACAAGGCAGAAGTACTCAATAACTATTTTGGAACTGTGTTTACAGCAGAAGACTGTACTTTTGTTCCAGAACTGGAAACAAGAACCCAAGAGGAGCTATGCTCTTTCAATGTGACTCAGGAACAAGTAAAAATCAAACTTCAGCAACTTGATATAACAAAGTCCTCGGGACCTGACGGACTTCACCCAAGGTTCTTAAAAGAAACTGCTGATGAAATCGCTGTACCCCTTACCATTATCTATAACAAGTCGCTAGCATCGGGTAGAGTGCCAAAGGCCTGGAAAATTGGACATGTTACAGCCATTCATAAAGGTGGAGACAAAAGTGCTCCAAGTAATTATCGACCGATTAGTCTGACATCGGTCCCCTGCAAGATCCTAGAGGGATTCGTGAAAAGTAATATCATAGACCACATGATGATTAATAATTTGTTTTGTGACAACCAACATGGCTTTGTCCCAGGGAGGTCATGTACAACACAGCTTATGGAAACTTTGGAAGAATGGACACTATTGTTGGATGAAGGAGTAGCAGTCGACGTAGCCTACATGGATTTTCGTAAAGCATTTGATTGTGTCCCTCATAAGAGACTGCTCAACAAACTCAAAGCTTATGGCATCAAGGGAGATTTACTGAAGTGGATTGAGAATTTTTTGACTGATAGAAGGCAACGAGTTGTGGTGAATGATAAGAAATCATCTTGGTGTACTATCTTAAGTGGGATTCCCCAAGGCTCGGTACTGGGTCCGGTACTTTTTGTGTTGTTTATAAATGACTTACCAGAAGAACTAGATTCAAATGTGAAGATCTACGCAGATGACACAAAGATATACCGACGTGTTAACTCTGACACCGATCATGATGCAATGCAGGCTGACTTAAACAAGGTCAAAGAATGGTCCGAGAAGTGGCAACTTCATTTCAATGAGAAAAAATGTAAAATCATGCATCTTGGTAAGCAAAAGGAGTTGCAACCTTATACGCTAGGACAATCAGCCATGGCTGTTACGGAAGAAGAAAAGGATCTGGGTGTTATAATGGACAAAGAATTGAAATTTCACTCTCACACCGCAAAAGTGGCGAAGAAGGCCAATCAAGTTCTGGGGTTGATAAAAAAGGCATTTTCAGCCAGAAATAAAACAATGATTTTGCCACTATATAAAACATTGGTGCGGCCGCTCCTAGAATACGGAAATGTGATCTGGGGCCCTATATATGAAACCGACAAAGCAAAAATAGAGAAAGTGCAAAGAAGGGCAACCCGCCTGGTTACTGAGGTGAAACATCTGTCGTATGAAGAAAGACTGCGTGCGCTAAATATTCCGTCATTGAGTCATCGGCGGTACCGGGGGGATATGATACAGGTGTTCAAAATTATGAAAGGAATGGAACGGGTGAGAGTCGAACACTTCTTCCAGATGACTACAGATACACGAACCCGCGGCCATAGTCATAAAGTGAAGAAACCAAGGGCAAGACTAGCAACCAGACAGCACTTTTTCTCAAGCAGGACGGTCAACAGTTGGAATGCCCTGTCACAATCCTTGGTAGACTCTCAAAATGTACACCAATTTAAGAATAGGTTTGACGAAATTCAAACAAACAGCTCACTGTACTCAACTACAAGCCAGTAAAGTTATGGCACGAGAGTGGACCAGTTGGGTTCACTTATAAAGTCAAGAGCAGGACCAACAGGGCTTATTAGTCCTCTTTACCTGAACATCAAGTACATCAAGTACATCAAGTACATCAAGTACAAATTTATTTGAAGTAGGTGAGAACACTGTTAATCATGTCACCTTTGAGTAAGGAACAAAAAGCAAAGGTCGTGCAGTTTTACTGGGAGACCAAATCAATCGTCTTAACGCAACGGAAATTTCGGGCCCATTTTCAAACAAGGAAAACTCCAGATAGAAAGACAATACTTCGACTCTGTGAACAGCTCCTGAGAGAGGGATCGGTCGGAAACCTAAACAAGGGTCGGAGTGGAAGAAAGTCTTCTGCTAGAACTTCAGAATTCATCGCAAAAGTCAAGGCGGCTATCAACGACGACCCCTCAAAATCACTGCGAAAGCTCGCACAAGAGGTCAACGGTAGCTACAGCTCTGTGTGGCGAATCGCTAGAAAGGACCTTGGACTTACGCCCTATAAAGTTACTATTCATCACAAGTTGACATCAAGCGATCAAGAGCAGCGGTCTAGCTTTGCCAGATGGTTTTCTGAAAAGTGCACATCCGATCCAGCCTTTCTGGAGAACATTTGGTTCAGTGATGAAGCGCACTTTCACCTTGATGGCTACGTGAACACCCAGAACTGCAGGATTTGGGCCGCTGAGCGACCTGATATCGTGATGGAAAAGCCACTCCACAGCCAAAAGGTCACGGCGTGGTGCGCTTTCAGCGCCAAAGGCATCATCGGACCCATTTGGTTCCAGAACCAAGACGGATCGACAGCCACCATCACCAAAGAGCGGTACCTACACAACAACGCTCAATCGCTTCTGGAAACGCTTACAAGCTCAACACCAGACACAGCTAAACTTCTTCTGGTTCCAGCAGGACGGTGCGACGCCTCACACCTCCAACATCGCCCTCGAGTGGCTGGAGACGCACTTCTGTGCCCGCGTGATCAGCCGGAAAACGGCGCACCCCTGGCCGGCGCACTCCCCGGATCTAACGCCGCTCGACTTCTACCTCTGGGGGTATCTGAAGAGCCGCGTCTACCAAGGCAGCCCCCAAAACCTCTCAGATCTAAAGGCTGCCATCGGGCGTGAAGTCCGCGGGATTCCTCTTGCCACCTGCGCCCGAGTGGTAGCAGAAGTCAAGCACAGGGCTGATCTGTGCCTGTCGCGAAATGGACGCCATCTGGAGCACGTGCTCCACTGACTGCACCTGTCACGTTATGCCATGCTGGCTGCTTCCAAACAAATCTCCATGAAATGCTGCTTCTTTTGATGCAATAAACATGTGTCTGCGTTACCAAGTTTTTAAGTAATTCAGAAAACAAATGTGGGACACTTTTCTGAATCACCCTGTACGACTTCGAAATTAATCGATTCTACAAAACCTTTTACTTTCATCTATATGCATACATTTAACAGTAACTCCAGACTAGACTGGTTTGGCTGGCCCTAAATAAGCTTCGTGTGACTATTAACTTTGCATCTCGACTAGGGCGAGCGGCGAAAACAACCACGACCCTGAGTGGGTCCCGAAAGGCTAAACGCTGGACGGGATTAACCCGCGAGGAGAATAAAACGCCGGGACCAGAAAGCGGCCTCATTTCCAGCACTGCTGTTAGCTGTAGGAACACTACCATGTGCATTGTGCAACTTTGCTCAGAAATAGGATGATTTAGTGTGCACCTATAACAAAAATGAATGTGCACATTTTTCACCAGCCAAAACAGTTAACTGCTCGTATTCTTATGTCTATGGCCTCTCACAAGTCACAAGTTTAACCAGCCATGTGGAAAAAATGACCAGCAATGTGAAAACTTTTGCAGCCATCAGGCGTTGGTCAGTCCGGATGACTTCATTTTTCAGAGCAACTGTTATTTGTTTCACATTGCTGGCAAAAGTCAGGGCTAGAAGCCAATGCATATTCACAATGGGTCACTTTTATGCTGGTAAAGCTATGGTACATTTGGAGTGGCACATTCCACATGGAATCCGTGGAATATTCCATACGCACGGAATATTCCCATTTGCCGGAGATTGGCCATTCAGAGATAAGCCCCAGTCTGCAAAACGTGGCAGGCTTCGACGAGATCTCGTCGGGGCAGACACCACAGGTTGGGGCAGAAATAGGGGCAGGTTTCAGGAAGATTGGGGCAGAAACAGGAAAATCTGGTGCAGAAGTTAAAAAATTGACACAGAAGTGATTTTCTCAGCTTCTCACTGCTTCCTACATCATTATATCGTTACATCATTTGCATCATTAGGGGCAGGAATTGGGCTGCCCCTGGACTCAGCATTCTGATTCGGGGCAGGATTTTGTCTGCCCCGAAAATCTTGTCAAGCTCCCTGCCATGTTTTGCAGACTGGGATAAGCCTACGAACATGGCACGGGAAATATTCCCGGGAACGGTGAATCAGAATATTCCATGCTCTCCGAACGCACCACTAGCCTCAAAACATGTTATTCACACTTGGAATAACAGTCACACAGGCACAGCTCAACAAGCCACGCACAAAGCCAGCGCCGAGTTCTGGCTCTATAACTCTGTCAATCCAAAAAAAATACAATCAAAATCATTAAAATAACTATAATATATACTAAAGATATCAATGTCCTCAAAAAGCCCAATAACATAACTCCAAACTCCGCAATTTACATGCGACAGGATATTGATATGATTACAAATTTACATCCAAGTTTACATCAGCCCAAGGCTATCATCAGCCCCATCAGCCACATGGCTCGAGATCCTTGCAGAAAACAGCTCACATCTGTTCAAGAAGAGCATGTACAAAGCGCGTCACCTAGCAACAGCCGATTCAATTGCGCTCTCAGCATGTGGTTGCTATGCAACTGGCATACTTTGATAAAATAGAATAGAATGATGCACTTTAAATGTAGCAAAAGCGCCACTTGCCTTTTGCTCAGCACTACCAATTTATAATTTGGGGTTATGTATATGCGTTAGCTCAGCCTACACATGTTATCAGTTATCACGGGTTGGAGTTGACTAGACTTATGCTGTTATATTGAATTTAAAGTGCATTCAGCCATTCATTCATGCTCGGCGAACCGGGCCTACCATCTGACACCTGGGTGACGTGTAGGACGTACGGTGTCGGTGACAGCACACCCACTCCGCCCGGGCGTATGAACGAGAGATCACACAAAATAAAAGACGTCGGACCTCGATACTATATTATGTCTTGACTTAAACACGCCGACTCGCACAGTATCTGGAATTTCATGCGCCGCACCACACAGGCTCGCAGCAGCAAAAGTAACAAAGACAAGACTGGCGTCGTCGACACTCGCGATCGCACACAATAAATCGCATACATCGAGCCACAATTAGCCGTACGATTGGGTCTATGCCCGCTTGCATGCGGGCCGCTCGTGCCCAACGACCTATTTGTCCATCGGAGGGTAAGTTTGTAATATGGACGCTTCGCGCGGCTGGCAGCGGGACGTGGGCCCGTCAGCCATCTTATCTATATTTCTACATTCAGATCAGTGCGGCCCGCCGCAGCGGACCGACGCAACAATCGGTGCCGTAATCGGCAGCGTAAAGCCGATGGACGCGTAAATCAGCCGTCGGCGGGCGGTGTGATCACCCGCCCGACGGCCGTGTAAGAATAAATAAGCATGCACATGAAACACTGGGCTGGCGATGCGGGCGAGCGGTCGGCGCACGGCTGAGGCAGGGTGGGCAGACAGTCAGGCGTGGCTCGCCGACACAGAACATGCAGACACAACACGATGAAAAACGGGCAGAGGAGGGAGGCGTAGGGTCCCGCCACTCACCGCCGATACGCGGCCGGCCCACACGTACACAGAAATACAGCAGGAACTGGAGGGATACAGACATCAGCGCTCGCCCACGCACGGCCAGCCAAAGGTACAAACAGGTCCCAGTCACACCGGGCGCGCGGCCGAGACTGTGGAAATATCATCATCGTATCGTAACAACTCGGGCGGCTCGGCCGGCGCGCGGCAGCGGTGATCCACGGCCGGGTAGGTCACACAGGACAGACACGTAGATCAGCCGCTGGTCAGACAAGCGTCACCGCCCGCAGACAGCCGGACCCGCCGACCGCTCACCGCGCCACTACAAATACGGCGCGTCTCGCAGACTGGCGCGCCGGAGCCGCTCGCGGGCGGCGGCCAGCGCCACGCGCCGGCGGCCGTGCGTGCCGGCGCCGGCCGGGATCTCCCTGGGTCAGTCATTGAGCATGTAGACGAACGACATGGGGAACATGCCGCGCCGGTGCGGCTCCGACTCGATACAGCCCTCCATCCAGTCCTCGTCACTGGTGCTCTCAGCCAGAATGACGATTATCTGAGGGGAGGACCGGGATAGACCGTCAGCGGGGACGCGGAAGCGCGTAAGACGACAAATTGTAACTGAAAACATCCGAAAATTGACGATTAGTTGAGGGCGTACTGGCAACGATTGTCAGCAGGGAAGGGGGAGGAAGTAACAAGACACTGATCACAGCTGAATGCACAGCTAAAAAAAAGGTTAGAAAATGAGGATACCCTTGTCAGGCTGCTACAGCTACCCTCTGTCCGACGGATCTTCCATTGCTTTTCGTTGCGTCCATTCCGTCACTCTACTATCACCTTGGTCTCAGCTCCCCTCCCTTCCCTCCAGTACTCACCTCGCCTTCGGAGAAGGTGAGCTCGTCGTCATTATCGGCGTCGCAGTCATACATGGCGCAGCAGCGGCGCACGGGCCGGTACGACTCGGCCCGCTGCCGGCGCGGCCGGCCCACCTCGCCTGTCTCGGACACCACGCTGCACAGGCTCTCCGTGGAGCGGCCGTTGGCGAGCCGCAGCGGGCCGCCGGCGGCTGGCGCACCCGCAGGGGCCGGCGGAGGTGGCGCGCGCGGCCGCTGCAGGCCGCCGATCGGCCGCACACCACCCACTGGGGGTAACAGGGCACGTCAGAAGAGGGGTAAGCTGGTATGTGGAGTATAGGGACAGACGTCTGGCATTCGCATACCATATGTTTGTGTGCACCGCAATCACTGTTAAGCCGGGAATCCATATCCGCATTCCGAATGTCCATGATCTGCAATCGCAGCTGTTGACGGCGGTTAACGCATATTAGACTGGCCAGACAAGGGCGTCCACTCTCTCAGAATATCCACTTCACTCACCGGGCCTCGGCCGTTTGGAGTGCGCCGGCCGGCGGGCAGCGTCCGTCCGCCGGGACGTGCTGGGACTGGAGCGCAGACTGTCTGTCGACGAACGAATCTGGCGGACAGACCGAACAGACACAGGTGAGATGACAGACAGACCTACTAACAGTGGTAATGGACGAGCCGTAGTGGTTAGTCAATAACTGACAAGCATGACGTAACCATTCCAAAAAAGTGCAAGCAGGCCACCAGCCAAGAGCCAATTCTGCGGCTGGACTCCCTACCTAGTGCCCGTCCCTGTTACCCTACCTGGCATCTGTCCCCGTCTCCCTACCTGGTGCCTGACCCTGTTACCCTACCTGGTGCCTGTTCCCGTCACCCTACCTGGTGCCTGTCCCTGTCTCCCTACCTGGTGCCTGTCTCAGTCACCCTACCTGATCCCTGTCCCCGTTACCCTACCTGAAGCCTGTCCCAGTCGGCAGTCACCCACCTGGTGTCTGTCCCTGCCTCCCTATCTGGTATCTGTCCCTGCTACTCTACCTGGTGCCTTACCCTGTCTCCCTATCTGGTATCTGCCCCCATCACCCTACCTGGTGCCTGTCCCTGTCACCCTACCTGGTGCCTGTCCCTGTCCTCCACGACGGTGGTCTCGTCGTCGGAGAAGTCGGTGCTGCCGTCGTCGTAGTTGCTCAGGTTCCAACTGTCGACACTAACGTTCTCAAACACAGACTTCTTGCCGGCCAGCGCGTGCTCCAGCTGGGGACGAACACAGTAACGAGGTCAGAATATGCCATAGAGTTTGACAAAAACGCAGGGAAGGGGTCAGGATAGAACTCTCAGTTCAGTGCAAAGGCCAGATCAGCGTCGGAGATCCACACATTAGTCAGGGCCACGGTGGCAGCACGGCGTCCTCGCCTTCGCCCGCCACGCCTTGCCTCCCGCCACGCTCATCATCCCTAAGCAAAAGACACACGTCTTCTCCCCGCCATCAATCCAAGCTTATCACCTCCCGGCAAACTAGAACACTCAATTCTCCCTGGCCCTGATCAGACTCCCGCCATTCTCACAAGCTCTCTGCAGAGGACGCATCCCTTCCCTAACTGAGCCCATCGCTCTACCTGGCCCCTCCCTGCCTCCCGGCACGCTCACCAGTTCCTTGCAGAGTGCGTAGCCGCGCTCGCCGGCGATATCCCGCGGCGTTTTGCCGTTGTTGTTGACCTGGCGCGGGTCGGCGCCGGCCCTCAGCAGCAGTTTCATACACTCTGGCCGGTTGTAGATGGCGCAGTAGTGTAGCGCCGTGTTGCCCTCCGCAGTCTGTGTGTTGACCGAGTCCGAGTTTTGTACGAGGAAGTCGACCATGTGTAGAGAGCTGCCGTCCACCTCCTGCCGGACAGACGGCGAGGAACATGTCAGACAAATCACACAGGGGTGGTGAGGGAGCTGCAGACGGGGCCAGCTATACTATGCTTGACAGTGTACACCTTACGGACGGGCCTACGCACACAAGCGAGAGTGTCCGGTACGGGCACGGTATCCTAACCTGAAAAACACCCTGACACACATTGATCATTGACGGAACCGTCTGCTACGCAAAGCGTTTTCTCTCCCTGGAGTGCTGGCTACCGTACCTTTTTTAGTTCCCTGTCGTACCTGTCTGACGGCCAGGTGGAGCGCCGTCTCGCGCAGCTGACTGCCGGTGATGGGAGCGGTCAGGTCAGCGCCCTCGGCGAAGGCCGCCAGCAGCTGGTACAGGTGCCGCGTGCTGACGGCCAGCTCGACGTCCTGCAGCAGCTCGTAAGGGTCGTTGGTCGAGTGCAACGCGAACCGGCGCTCCACGTACTTGGCTCGGATGAAAGAGTAACGATCCTCCCTGCAGCGGAACGGAGAGGGAGGTGGTGAGTCGATGGCGCTTAAGCTTGTGAGGTGGCAAATGGGAGGCGAGTCGTGCGTGTGCTGTTTGTTGGCACTGTTAAGTTACGGTGGAGACGTCCTGGCAGACGGGCGAACTTACGAGTTTATCAAAACTATTTAGAGTCGGAATAAACCAGTATAACGCCTTAATTTGGGGCGAGTAACGGAGCGAGCGAGAGGGTGGGCCTTGCACGTGCGAAATTTCGATGGGGTACCTCCAACTGACTTGTGCACGGCACCCTACTAACCGGTCACTAGCGATGGGCCAAATTTGGGCACAATCGGCCCAGCCGTTCTCGAGATCTGGAAGCGGCACCCTGCACGTGCGCACGTGCAAAATGGGTCCCAACTGACTTGTGCATGGCACCCTACTAACCGGTCCCTAACTGTGTACCAAATTTGAGCGCAATCAGTCGAGCCGTTCTCGAGATCTGGAAACGACCCCTGCACGTGCGCACGTGCAGCAGCACCCCAACTCTGGCACATGGATATGCAGTGCCTAGTAGATGCCTTCCTACATGCCAACTTTCAGCACAATCAGCCAAGTAGTTACCCAGATATTGCAACAATTACAAAAGTGACACCTCTTCGTTTTGCACGTGGCACGTGCATAAGGGGTCACCCACATGCATCGGGAATAGTCCAATACTTGGTAGAAGGAATGAAGCTACCCTACAAAAATTACTGCATGTAATGCATGGTCAATTACAATTACTGCATGGTCAAGTGGTTGCTGAGATATAAGCCTCGCAAAAGCGTCCGCACGGCCGGCCGGCCGGCCGCTCATACTCACCAGTATAGCGCCTTTTGGGGCGACTAACGGAGCGAGCGAGGGGGTGAGTCTTGCACGTGCGAAATTTCGAGGGGGTACCTCCAACTGACTTGTGCACGGCACCCTACTGACCGGTTTCTAGCGATGTGCCAAATTTGAGCACAATCGGCCCAGCCGTTCTCGAGATCTGGAAGCGGCACCCTGCACGTGCGCACGTGCTAAATGGGTCCCAACTGACGGTCCCAGCTGACTTGTGCACGGCACCCTACTAACTGGTCCCTAACCGTGTACCAAATTTGAGCGCCATCGGTCCAGCCGTTCTCGAGATCTGGAAACGACCCCTGCACGTGCGCACGTGCAGCAGCACCCCAACTCTGGCACATGGATATGCAGTGCCTAGTGGGTGCCTACCTACATGCCAAGTTTCAGCGCAATCGGCCAAGTAGTTACCGAGATATTGCAACAATTACAAAAGTGACACCTCTTCGTTTTGCACGTGGCACGTGCATAAGGGGTCACCCACATGCATCGGGAATAGTCCAATACTTGGTAGAAGGAATGAAGCTACCCTACAAAAATTACCGCGTGTAAATCGGTCAAGTGGTTGCTGAGATATAAGCCTCGCAAAAGCGTCCGCACGGCCGGCCGGCCGGCCGGCCGCTCATACTCAGAAATTTCCGTTATTCTACGTAAGACTCCGCTCGCTTCGCTCGCTCCGTAATAAATTTCCGTTAATCTAAGGAAAGACTACGGACTCGCTTCGCTCGCTCCGTAATGAGAAACTCATGATTCCACCCGTAAATAGGACAAGTGCTTGACACTGTGTCATGACGGTTCTGTCTAAACACCGCGATACTTCGATACGAGGCTCGGCGATCATTAAACGCAGCCGTTCTTGTCCTTCCCCACATCATATCATGACCCAGGTCAGCGGCCACTCACATGGTGGCCGTCTGTTTGAGTTTCTTGGCCGGGTCCAGGCGCGCCTCCATGACGTCGTTGAAGCCGTTGTTGGACATGACCCGCGCCAGCAGCAGCTGAAACACAGCGGGCGAGGTCGGTGAGGTCGGGACGGAGGGCTGGCGCAGTCTAGACAAATCGATTCCAGCCGACAAACAGCTAGCCAACTGAGAAATGCCAGCTAGTGTGTGAGGGGAACGATATTGCACGGAAACAGGCAATACGATTACTGTAAGGATTGCAAGTTTAGAAAAGTAATACGATGGTTTTTGTTGTTGCGTATATGAAGTACAAGCTAGAGAGCAACTCTACCTGGGCATACTAGTGTACTAGCGAACCGATATTATAGCAATATTGTTTGCATATTTACGGGTAATTGCGTCCACTCCAAAGAAACCTAACACCAATTCAGCTCACGTCATACGGTCGTCCACTCAGGTCTGATGGTACCGTACCATCATAATTGTGCCACTATATTGCCAAGTACACGGATATTGTCATCCCGTACCCTCATTACGAGCAATACTATGATATTGCCTCTCCAGCATAGCCACCGGACACGGTATCTAACCGCGCACACTCACCTGGCTAGTACCGACGTGGTCGAGCGTCAGCGACTGGATACGGGAGATGTGCACGCCCAGGTCACGGTGAATCCCCGAACACTCGATACAAACCAGGATGCCAAAATTGGTCGACAGCCACGTCACGTCTGCCGGAGAGGGATGACGTTACGAAAAGCACGACACGGTACGGGATGTCATAGGGAGTCAACACTGATCACAGGTCATGAAACGGCAGGTTATGGCGTTCCCCATCGTTATGATGATATACACTGTGCATATCATCACAGTCGGTGACTGTGAGAGTCGGTGACACAGCTGCAGAACATGACCTCGCGGCGAGGACGTCTGTTTCTTCCTCTCCGTACAATCAGACTTTGAGACTGATTGCCAAACCATAAACTGAGGTGATTCAGTGCCAATCAGCGACACGTATCAGTGCAATCGTACTGCACAGCGAACCGCGGTCAACGCCAATGGAGCTGTACACCCACACCAGGCTACGTCCAACAGCCCCAGAATCAACCCAGCCTACCCAGACCCACCCCATGCGTGCACTCAACCCATTGATCCAAAAACCCTCAGTCTTATTTTTGTCTATCCGTCGACCAGCTCCACCCAATCCCTCCAACAGAGGCCCCTGTTGATCCCCCAGCCCCAATCTTCTGTCTTAACCACTCCCACCCCACCCCCACCCCCCACGTCCCAGTTCCGGCCCTCCCGACTCACCGTTCTGCGAGCCGCAGTCGCAGCAGCAGTCGTTTCCCGGCAGTCGGAGCACGGCGCTGATTATGGATTGCTGCAGCTCCCGCAGGCCTTGGCTCACCTGGTGACGGTTACAGGCACATACACATCAGACGGCCACAGTACACATTGGTCACTCAGTTATACGTCGTAGCACCGTCGCAGCTCACAAACATCAGACGGTCACAGCGATATTTACATATCCGTCGGTCCTAGCTCTTTTCACAAAGTCATTTGTATTAATCAAGGAAGTTCAGATTTCATCAAATAAACCAAAACGTATGCGCCTTGGCCCTTGTCCAACCTATCCCTGACACTCTGACAATAAGTCTACCATCCAGCGCCTAGGCGCCGATTCTCGTCCCAATTGTGAAACCTGTCGGTCGTGCCATGTATCCTAACCAGGGATGCGGAGCCGTGGAAATTTCAGACGGCTCCGGCTCCGGCTCCGGCTCCGGAGAAAAAAATCGGCTCCGGCTCCGGCTCCGGCTCCGGGTGAAATGTTGTGGCGGCTCCGGCTCCGGCTCCGGCTCCGAGTAAAATGGTCCGGCTCCGGCGGCTCCGGCTCCGGCGGCTCCGGCTCCGACTCAGTACATCCTCTATGCAATCAATTAAATACGGGTGGAAGAAAAATTGGATTGGTTATACGCGTTACACTTTGCCATGACCGGCTCACCGCGTCCCCGCGCAAACGCACCTCGGAGAGAACTGGCAGAACAAAGGACTAGGAAGCGATGGCATTGGAAACGCAGTCGACGCGGGGGGTGGGAGTGGGGGGGGGTTGGGGTGGGGGGAGGGGAAGAGACGGTGCTGGGAGTCGCAGTCCACTGCACTGGCTTGAAAACAATGGCCGTCACCTGATGACCGGTCCTCATGTTCCGGGGATGCAGTAGACGTGGGGGGGGGGGGAGGAGCAGACAAGAAGTTGATTGCGTACAGTGGGATACTGGGGATATTCGGCTTTTTTCATTCACTTGATGTCCCATGACGTAAGTAAAGTACCATATGTTTTACTGCCTTGTACTGTCAAACCGAACTAGGTCAATTATTTTTTTCCTCTTCAAAAAATAAAAAGGAGCCGGAGTCGCCCCCTTTTTTGGCGGCTCCGGCTCCGGCTCCGGCTCCGGGCTATATTGTTTCACGGCTCCGGCTCCGGCTCCGGCTCCGGGCAAAATATGCCGGCTCCGGCGGCTCCGGCTCCGACTCCGGCTCCGGCTCCGCATCCCTGATCCTAACACGCACGTCCACGTTGCGCCGTGTTCCTTACCTCGTCGGTAGGCCGTCCGGTGTCGTCAAACACCTTCTGCAGCGCCCCCTCCTTGCAGTTCATCAGCACCGACATCCAGGCCACCCGGTCCGCCTCGTCCTCGGCTTGCAGGTGGTACGTACGGTTAACTGGCGGCGAACGGAGGGACACGGTCAGTCAAATGTCGCACTGGTAGAGCAGTAATATTGCGCTTGAAGTGCCAGCAAAAACATGCTTTTCACAGGTAATGGCATCATAAGCATAATCAAAATAATAAATATGACCATCAATCAAAAAGCAAAACCAAAGGTCTTAATCGTTGAAAAATAATAACAAATCACTCCGTCTATAGTTCATCTACATATCCCATACAGGAAATCAGAATCAGCATCCGGAGAGTCTCAAGTCTCAACCATCCCTCCCATTTCCTCTTATACCCGTTACAACCACCAAACCAGCGAACGTTTCCACGCCCCGCCCCACTCTGGCCACTCACACGAGATCAGGTCGAAGGCGCGCGGGTCGTCGGTCACTGGCTTGACGTGGCAGGTGAGCAGGTTGAAGGTAGTCGGCGGCTTGGTCTCGTCGGAGTGGCAGATGTACAGGTAGCCATCACGCACCTCGCTGCGCCGCTTCTGCCACACCTTGCGCACACCTGCCGCAGAGGAGGAGGGTGGTCAACGGGTGCTGGTGCACAGGCTGTCTCGCTCTCATCGATTCCTGAATGACCCTGTTCGTGACTTGCCGCCCTGTCGACCCGTTCAACAAGCGAATAAAGTCAGTCGTTAATCTTAGGCGCCTCGTTTGGTACAAAACGAGATGAAGTTAGAAAAAATGCAAGATTTCCATCGGTAACATGTAAAATTTAAGTCACATTCTCATTCCCTAGAGAAATCATTCACACACAACTGATTACAGCCGCCGATTCACTGCACGGCGGTCTGGATGATTGTCTCACCGTCCGATTTCTTTTTGAGCCAGCCGCGGCGGGTGAAGCCGTGAGCCTTGTCGCCCTGCGGCCTGTGTAGAGAGTACCCGGGTGACGTGCTGACCGGCTGCAACAGATGACATGCACTGAATTAGCTGGGGCTGGATAGAAAGTAATAACGGTTCACCGATCACAAGACCGTGGCACAGCCGGGTTTATGCATTACTCCACGATGCAGCTTATTATTCTTTCAATCACACAGTCTGTCTATGGCAGTTACTTCACTTCAGTCAGCCAACACTAACACCTGAACCTAAACACAATCACAAGTGACCATCGCTTCGCAATCCATATACACCCCTCCCGACGTTCTGACGGGAGGATACAATTACAATTATTCGTCTCACAGCCTCGGTGTGTGACGATACATCCCCACTGCTCCGTCCATCCCATCGTCACCCCACTGTCAACAACTCGGTGTCGCTGCGTACCTCCTTGGCGTCGAGGTGGTGGTGCGACTGCTGCAGCAGGGTGCGCACCTCGAGCAGCTGACGCCGGTCGGCCTCCTGTTCGGACCGCACCGCCTGTAGCTGCGTCTGCAGCTCCTGGACGTACAGACCGAACTGCTCCACGCGCTTCAGGCCGTCACGGAAATAACTGTGGGGGAGGTGGGGAGTGAGGTCATAGCATACACGACAGAAGTGGATGTGATTATCTGTAATAAGACACACCCCACTAGCAGTGAAACTGCTACACACTCGCAGAGAACGTGTGTTAAGGGTGTGTAAGTGATTATCGATGAAACATCATGTGGCTTCATATTTTCGGATATGTGACAACTAGTAAAAGTGTGTCTATTGTGTCATATTAAAATTAAAGTTACCTGAAGCGAAAATGCGAATAATGAATATCACTTCACGGTGATCCCCACACCCATGTGACCCTCGTGGGACGTAGTACGCCACAATACGAAGCAAGACGCACCACGCAGGTTCGACCAGTAACTCACTTATCCTGGGCATGGTGGAAATCCACCAGGTGCTGCAGCAGGTCCACGCCCTTCTTCGTTTTAATCTCGTTCACTTTGATCAGGTACTGTCAACACAGCAAACACGGACAGTGCAACAGTGTATCTACAGGGAAGATCCAAACCGACTAACATTAGAACTGAGCAACGGTACAAAGTTTGTTAGCATTAAACTCATCCGATGTCTACAGGTTGAAGCCAAGCTGAATCAGCGCTTTTAGTTCAAATAATACAACTACATGTCACACGTATTCCGCATGCCGAGCCATCGGCTAAGCCCAAGCGAAAACTCCCAGTAAGACAAGTATATCCCCTCATTAAGCGCCACCCTAATTGATACCTCGTACTCATCATCTAGTCGTCATTACGCTCAGCCACGCTCAGCCCAATCCAGTGACATTCGATCCGGCGCCACCAGCTGCCGGCCGCTTCATCTTTCAGCGCATACTGCGCATTGCTCAGTACGAAACGTAAAACACCTTACAAACTTCCCTGTCCGCTCAGAGCTCGCTACCAGGCTGACGATGTGGGCAAAGAAGGGCCACATGGGCTAGGTCAGCTGGGTAGACGGGGAACACTCTCCAAAGTGACACCGATTCTTCCGTCTGTTCAGCTGACAGTGACAAGGAAACGCTCTGAAGGGACACGGAAGGCGATCTGTCTGTTGAGATGGGATACCCTGCCTCGTTGGGGCTTCCAGACCCTGACTCGGTGGCGCCACTGCCCACTGACCTCACACATCTGCAGCTGGAACATTTTCCGTTCGGCCTCCATAACGTCTGCCAGCTCGGCGGCCGAGAGCTCGCCGCTGCGGATCAGACCCGCCTCCTTCGCCTGGGGGTGGGGCGAGGGTAGGACGGTTAAGGACGGTGGAGCCCCACGCTAGAGCGAGCGGGCTGGGTCAGATGGGCTCGGACAGGGGATCTGTTTGTCGCTGAATATGGGTAATGGTTCTTGTCACCTAGTTATTATTGCGAAGATGATAGAAGTGGATTTTAAACGGAAACCAGGGACGGTACCAGCGATGTGCGACAAACAGTGAACGATTATTGGTCAAACGTCGGGCGTTAACAAAGTCAAAAACCTAATGAAGATATCAGTCGATTGAAATTACCCGCACAAAAGGTCAACGTCCGCAGCACGCCTCGCCGTCTGGGCGTTATCGTCACAACATATGGCCGCACCTACCTGTCGGTGTTTTTCCTTCTCAATCTTCAGAAACTTGTTTTCGTAATCCTTCCAGGCTTTGTCGAACGGCCTCTTGAGATCACCTTTTCCTCCTTTCAGGTCTCCCTTCATGAGATTGTCCAGCGGAAACAGTACCGTATTGTTGAGGTTCTGAGTCTGAAACCGCGTCATCCACTGCGTCAGTAGCGGCAGAGTAGCGTCTCTTGCTTATCAACTTTAACAAACAAAACGAGAAGAGCCGACATCCGCCGGCCATCCCCAGCAAAATTACATATTCCGCCACCCGCATTACTCATCCAACTGCGACAAATCTCATCACATCTATCTCATAAAACGTCTGCTCTTGACAACGACACTGTAAACGGCTACGACCCCATCTAACCCTCCTACTCTCCGAATTCTGTCGCCAGCTGGTGAGTCCCCCTCCCCGGCGCTCCCCTCCTGGGAAAAGGGTGCTAAACGCACCAGAGTACGCATGAGGGCGCAGAGCTCCTGAGTGACGGCCGAGAACCGCTGGAAGGCGGCACTCAACTCGGGACACTCGTCCCGGTTGGAGGCCAGACGCTCCAGCTGCTTGGCCAGAAACATCTCGTTGTCGTGGTGCGCTGCCGGCGGGAACATGGTGTCACCGGGTGTCAAGGGCTTGTGTCAAGGCTTTGTAACAGGGTGTCAATTACAGAAGCCATATAGGTATACGCTGTAACTCGATATATGAACTGGAAGTTTCAGGGTGAAGTGGACAGGACGGAGGAGATCGGCATCCGTCACACGCAGTCACATTTCGGGGCGTGACCTAAGTCTGGCGACCGTACCCACACTTGACTTTAGGCAGATGATGGTTAGGGCTGCCATCAGTAGTAGTGCATCATTGAAACATGGCCAGATTTCTTTGGTACTGGCCATTACATGTAGATCGTAACAAAAGAGCATCTATACAGTTGATCACGATGTCCATTGTCCACTCAGCTAAGCGCGCTTAAATTGTGCTCATTTTTTCAATTTAACTCGCTAAACATCGTCCAACAAAGCTTTCATCAAACAGTCTGAAGACCGCCGCCATAACCACCCTGTCAGCGATGAGCGCTGAGGGGCGGCGCCGCGCGCGTGACGGCGGGCGTGTGCCGTCACGCTCCGGGGCGCGTCACGGCCGTCCGTCACGGAGGCCGGCCACGAAGGCGGCCGGCCGGGCGGCTCACGGACCGGCCGCGGTGGCCGGCCGGGCGGATCGATCGCACGATCGGTGGCGGAGCAGACCGACAGGCTCCCCACGAGCCGTGAGTGGCCGTGAAGGACGAATGGAAGTGCGGTGCATGGATGATAACAAGAGAAATGAAACGGAAATGGATTACATGACACATCAGGGAAAGTAAGCTCTGCCTCTGTCCACCTCCTGAGTAACTAATGTTTCATTGTAAACATTGAAGCGACTTTGTAAGAAGCAGCCAAAGTGTTAAGGTAGGACGTTAGTTGCGTCTTCGTCCTAGCTATCTTTAAATTTCCAGTAGCACTCCACTTGTTCGCCGAAATTAGAAACCGCCATATTGACGCCGATTTTTGGGTTTACAAGTGCTTTAGCACGCGATTCACCCGGTGGCACAGTGACACCGCGTCTCGTGGATCCCCGCCTCTCCCCTCGACTCCTCCGGTGTCTCGGCCGACCTGTCATCACTGACCACGCCCCTCGTCATCAGCGACCACGCCCACTCGCTGACGCTCGGCGGGACTTTATAATGACCGGAAGGCACGCTCACGGCGACGGGCCCGCTCACCTATCCCCGCCCCCGGTCCTCCAGCCGACTCGTCGAGCCTCGAGGCCGAGACGCCAAACGACGAGTGTCAGATGAGATATTTGAGCCATGAGATCGAAAACCACAGGACGGAAGAAAAAAGCACGGGAGTATCTGGTATTATCCAGAACCGAAACCCAAGGGCTTGGTTACGATTGCCGAGGGATATGAATTGGTGCTATGTGCAGGAAACAGCGGACCGATGATTGCCGATCCCCTAACAGTATCAACAACGAGCCCATGGCGCTACCAGCACGAATCCCCATTCCCCATCCCCTGCACCAACGCTTAGCCTAGAACACCACCAGCACCAATCCCTGACTCCGCACTAGAGCCCGACGGCCCGCATAAAGCCGGAACCACACACACACGGACACGGCCGCCGGTGTCAGGTCACGGTCAGAGCGCCGCAAGGACGCGCTCGCCGAGTCGTGTCACACAACAGAGAGGTGCCGCATGGCGCGCCCGTATAAATCCTAACAACGACCCTGGGGCTAATAGAAGAGCTGGGCGGTACGGTGAATCGTAGATCAGCCCAGGGTACACACAGCACACGTCACAGTGTTTTCTCTCTGCAAATATCACTTTGGGAGCGGGGTGATTTTCAGGAAATTGCAATCCCGCTGGAACTGAGCCACTGCGCCTCGATGCAGAATTGTAAGCATCGTGCGAGTCTGTGATGGTTCCGGTCAGATCTGGCGGACCCAGGTGTGTTGGATGTAAGGTGACTTAAGCGGGCGCAACTGGAAAACTGTGTTTAAGTTCTTGGGAAACTCGGTCGTTACCAGCTCACCACGCGCCGCAAAAAAAGCGTGAGAGGTGTATACTGTATATATGCGCACACAAAGATAGAACTAATTCGTGCTACAGTTCGGTGTCACACCAACCAGAAATGCATGTTAACGTCCGTTTGGATTATATTTCTTCACATTATGACGTTTCTATACTCAAACTGGTCAAGAAAAGACTAAATATCTCGGTACATGTCAGAAGCCGGCTGGCTCAAAAGTCATTCCGGCGATTTGATCTCCGGTTCGCAGCGGACAAGATGGACGTCCGTCGTCCTATCCCTGCCACAGACCCTCCTCAGCGCACGTGAAGAAATCCCCTCCCCCACTTCCTCTCTCGCGGTCCGCTTCAAGTCGGCCGGCAATGCCACGTCACGGCCGGACAGGGCTTCCTGGGCGACCAGCCGCGGCACGGGACCGAGGGCCTACACACGGGGACGCTGCATGGATAAGCAGCAAGGCATGGGCTACACGGAAACACGGCACGGATTGACAGAAAATGAAACACGGAGATTAGCTTGGATTAGCGACACGGGCTTCACGGATGCACTACACAGAATGAACAGCGACGAGATATGCATGGAGACATAAAGCGGATTGACATCACGAATTATACGCAGCCACGGCACGGGTGTGGAATAATACAAGGGCCGCAACAAGGGAGCGAAAATGGAATAGGTGAAAACATGCAACAGGAACGTGGAGAACCATCACGGGAAACTGCACCAGCACGCTGGCAAGGGAAACGAAGCTCGCGACATATCGGGCAACAACATATACAACATATACACGGACAAAAAAAAATAGGAAACACGGATGGACGGAAAATAACGGACGGACGACACACCACGGCCCGAGCGCTATGCGCGAGGACTCCGGGACCGTACACGGCACACATGGCCCGCCCGGGCGCGGTCGCAGTGCGCGGTGTGCGCGCGTCCCGTCACGGCCCGGTTGATGGTCACGCTCCACCGCCCACCCGGCCGGCATTAGAGACACCAGCCACGAACTGAGACTGCGTAGTGCGTACAGAGGCTGAGACTGCGTGCGGAGTCAGGCGCCGTCGACCTACGGCACGCGGATGGACCCTTGTGGAATGAGAGCGTATGAGATGGATTGCTGGATTGTTAGGGACTCTAGTGTGGCGGGCTCCTTATCCCTTTGACAATACCGCCAAGATGGCCGAGGTAATTGGAAAAAACTCCGATAATAATACACAACTTCAAATGCGGTTATCTTTGTGAGCACTCAAGCTGCCCAGTCTGGAAGCAATTAGAAGTGTATAATTGTCCCCAAAAGTAAGGATGAAAGCGGGACTTTTGTTGTATACTGGAAGTCACTTTCTAGCCAAATCTAAACAGGTAAAAATTTTGAGGCACTAACGATTATGCATTTCCGATTATGCTTAATTAAATCGATAGTATCCACTGATCGGTCTAGGAAACATTAATTTTGGTCGAAAGGCGATTCAAAGAGAAGGTGCCATACTTATTCGGTTCAGGCGTATCCCTTTCCTATCAGGTGTAATTCCTAATGCAATAATTAAGCAAACAGATGGATCGGTCAACAGGAAGACAGCGTAAAACCGACAAAGAAAAAACGAAGGGGCTCATACAACGCAAACACCTGAAGTAGGTACAGTCACACTCCAATAAACAAGCCGCTCACAAGTGTCGATCTCTGAAGGCAATTCACGAATGTGTCCTCGGTATCGTGCCAACGTATCGCGTATAGGATGTCGATGTGTCATTTCGCTCTCAATAGACATAGCAATGCCCTTTGGAAGTTACACCGCCCGCTGACGTCATGTGGAACAGAACAAACGAAATATTGTCACCAGTCTTGTGCGCTGCTTAACAACATGACACACTTGTGGTAAGGTGTTTCCGCGCTAGGAAAACCCTGGATTATGAAGGCACCTCACCCTCAGTTCAGTCACCTAGCCAGTATTTTAGATACCATAGACTAGACTGAGCAGCACTTCCCGCAGCTCTATCGGGGGGGGGGGGGGGGAATATGAGGACCTATCCTGAGGTCATCTCCATATGTGGCGAAATAAGACAATGGCCTATCCTGAGGGTCTGACACTGGTCAGTGGTCGGCCGGACAGTCCTCGCGTGACACAGATACCGGAGTCCCTCCCCCCCCCCTACCGGCGATACCCCCGTCTGGCTCTCCCATCCGTCAGACTTCCCGCAGTCTCCCCGATAAGAAAGTGAGCTCGGTGGGTACGGAACCGACCGGCGCGGTCCGGAAGTCGTCAGATAGGACAGCTGAGGAGACCGCAGGCAGTGCCGTGCCGGTGACCACGGTCCGATAGTCTGCGTACTGGGACTCAGCCAGCCTAGCTACTGCTCGGGAAGGACGGGCAGGCGGGAGGCAATATCGCATTCTGCATCCGTAAGGATGCCTAAGGTTATATGAGAGCCACCATAGCAACAAGAGTGCCACCATAAGGTACCATCACAGAGCAGCTATGCTTGTCCTGATCACACTAATCATCATCTTACATGCAGCCGCTGAATTATTCTGCTTTGGGCGAAACGAACACATTAAAAATATAGTTACAGCGTCCGGAGGAAAATGATATGGATAAAAGTGTTCTCATTATTTTGGCGATTAGGATAAGATCGGGACCGCTTTTCGAGTGTTCGACGAGCACAATCTTGTTCCGGATGTAGCAAGTGTAATCTTGGCAAGTGGATCGCACACATAAACGCGCATTCATCAGCAGTGCCGATAGCAAAACACACAGACGTCCTCACGACACATGCACAAGCGTGACCCCGTTGTGCCCCTATCCCGCTCTCGGCCGATACCCCGATCCCCGCTCGGCACTCACCATTTCCGCTATTCGAGATGGCCTTGACAGCTTTGCGCATCTTGTTCAAACTGTCTCTGTCGTGATCAAGCATCTGAAAAATGTGTCACTCATCAGAGCTCTGCTCAAAGCGACATGGTGCAAACTGCAATGGCGTCAGATGACAAGGCAGATAACATTATCTCGGATACCAAGTACATGAAATGAAGTCACCGGCAGAGCGGACACCGACTTAAACCTGTGGTTTACAGGATATTGCGCTAATTTCAGTCACTGCGTCAGATGGAAGATAAATACATGGCATTACGATAACAGGCATCGCTTTCAACGTCCGTAACAAGTGTGTCTTACGGCTTTTTCTTTTTATAATTTCTAATAGAATATATATCATATGAAACATGATATCAAAATCACGTCAATACAAGACGTAAGAAAGGAAACAATCGAGACAAATACAATTTTAGAGACGTTTGCACCTAAAAACATCATCAGCGGCCGACTTCGGGAGCAGTTTTGAATCTCCTTTTCCTCGGCTAGCCCTTCGGTCATACGGTCCATCCCGTTCGTTACGAATCACTCCGCTCGTGGTACGGTCCATCCTGTTTATCATACATACCTCCTCCAGACAGGCGATGCTCTGCCGGAACTGGGGGATCTTGGTGACAAACGTGGACGTCGTCGGCGAGGTGACATCCTCGCGCGTCTCGTGCGCAAACTCCTCCACACTGACCACACCGGGCATGGCGGAGGCACGACGGAGGCGAGGGGAGGATCACTGCATCACCGCTGCGGCCACTGTCTGCCTGAGCGCGCACCACAGTCACTTTCGCACGAGGCACTCTCGACGGGGGTGATATCTCCTGGCAGATTGCAATTAATGATGTGGGTATCTGAAAGAGCAAAGAAAAGAATTGATAAATGAGCATTGGAAACAAAACCACACAGCACACATCTTCTGGCCTATAGGTATTTGCTTGCTACTTGTTCTGTTAAAGAGTAACTCTTCACCCAAACAGTGTGTATTTTACACATTTCTAACACTGATGCATACAATAAATGATACTGAGACTGAGACAGAGTCTCCCAAATGAACATACCAAACAGCTAGCCACAATTACCAACTAAACTGGCTCTCCAGAGTAAACAGTGAGCCACCAACTAAAAACCAGGCACTCGGCATGCTGGGACCAACCAGACCAGCTAGCTAGGATAGGTGACCAGCAGTCAGTGGGCTGGGATGGGGACTGGGACAAATCTGGAGTTCTGGACTGGGCCAGGGAATACAAACAGGACCATGCCCAGCTAGACCACCAATCACTGGGGCCAGATGCATTGTGACTGACCGAGAATTGCTGGCCACCCTGCAGTATGGCATTCAACAGATGGCACTACAACAATTTTCACCCCAATGCCACAACAAAACCTGGGTGTGCTCAAATTACTAACAACAAATTGATAAAGCCAAAAGATCATCAACACTCAGCAATAAATTGCTAAGGCTAGGCTTAGTCATGCCACTGCCTTGTTTTATTTTGATTTCTGAGGGCTGTTCATGCCTCAGGCACCAGAAACTGCTGAGTGCGGTATGCGCAGCAGGAGTGGGGGTAAGGGATGGGTGGGCATGTGTAATTGACAGTCCCTGCGTGGCTGGTCCTGGCTGAGGAAAACAGTCACTGTGTGGTATTCATTGAATGGCTGAATGATGATGGAGGGAGGCAGTGGAAAGCCGCACCTCCAACTGCACCAACTGCAGCCACATCTCATACAGGGCCCACGAACAGCACTCTGGAAACTTCAATGAGGAAATAATGTAAATTGTTATTTAATTTCTGGCAGCTGGGAGAAAATGATAGAATGCATATTGCATAATGCATTGTATATGATTTAATATGAATGCATATGAATTGCATATGAATTACTTTACTTCATTGGTACCTATTTCATTTCAACACAAAGGCTTATACATACATCTTAACATAGCAATTAGCATACCTCTGTGGTTATGTCCGTAGGTATATGACTGTAGTTGGTACCTTCCTTTGAGGCAATATAAGCCCAATAAAGTAAATAATACTTGATCACAAGCAATGGTGAAAAAAGGCATTTGTAATGGACATGGTGGTTGGCAATATCAATTCAATTGCTGTGCTTTGTGTGTAGTTTGTGAGGGTTAAATGGAAACTGAATTCAGCAAAATGAAACAGAGAATCTCAAAATAGATCAAAAATGTTAAAATGATCGCCCCCTTCTAAAAAGCCAGCAAACATGCGTCCATTCACCACGACCACCCACCAACACACGAGACACAACGCACATCTGTGGTGTAGAGGGGTTGTCAACACTTCAGCTTCTTTTTCAAACGTCAACGAGCTTGGGAGATACTAGAGACTTTTAATGCCAGTTTTTTACTTTCACCCATAGATATACAGACTTTCACCCAAACCTACGGAAAATATCTCCAAAGAAGCTGTTTTTGACGGACTGATGTTTTGTTATTGCAGGTTCCCACTTCCCAAATATCCCCAGCATGGAACAAGATAAACGTCCTTTTCATCAATTTTTTATTTGCTCGGAATTCGGTTGTCTGTTTCTTTACGGGGCTTTACGTCTGGTGGTATTTCCTTATCTTATTGAGATATTTTCAAAAGTCTTAGTAAAAAATCCCTAGTACAAGAACATTGCAGTACATTTGTAAAAACATCTTCCGACGGTGTTTTGTTGAAGCTTCACAAATATGACGCACTATCGACAACTATTGCCTAAAATTAGCCGCGACGGTGCAGTGAATTGTCCGAGTAAAAAGGTAACAAATTCTAAGAAAATTACACAATACATTTACAAATAGGGTTATATCAGCTCCTGTGCTACTGCTGTCCTCATCTCAACATTTCTTTGCTTATCTGGAACAATTGATACCATTCTTGATAGCGAAAACGCCGTGACGCCGTCTTAGGTCGCCTCTCGCTGAGATCCCTTTGATGGAGAGGCCACTTTTACTAACTGTAAAATAGCCACCTGCCGGAATTTTTGTCCAAAGACTGCTTCACACACAAGGCCCTATATAGAAGGTATGCTCATTAGGCCAAAGCAGCGATTTCCGTGACGTCACAGGTACGAAGCGTCGGACGGCTGTAATGCAATCCTATGGAAAATGACCCAACTTTAGGGCTCTCCCACATAGCTGCCAGACTCACCACTAAGGTAAAAATCATATCATATAAAAGCTCAAATCAAGACGAACAAGAAACCTATCTGACGTTTTTACGTATTACTAACGGCTTAGACACTATTCAAGTATATTCAGAGCTCTGCATTAGCTCACTTTTTCTGCCGTCAATGCCACTACAAATGCCTATAGTCGGCGCACGTGCTCTTGTCGAGCGGGGACCACCAGTCGGGCGATTCGGAGCTGCCGCCCAATCAGAACGCCGCAATGCCGTGACGTCATTGGTCGCACACGACACGTTATGGAGATAGGGATGAGACAGCCCTGCTTCACACACAGAGCATAAATGTGATGGGCAGCTAAGTAGATAGGGCTTTACTGTTAACGCTCTGAATGTGAAGCTGTCTCTCGGCAAAAAATTGTGGCAGGCCGCTATTTTACTGTTGGTGTAACCATAGCCTCAGGTTCATTTAAGTCTGATGAGCCTAAGAACAGAGTGTAAGCAGCTGTTGAATCATGCACATTTTATATTGCCGCATAAATATCTGAGAAATTTCTGACCAAGAGCTTTTGCTCTTGCTACTTTTCTCAGTTTCCCCCAATCCATAGTGATAGGTAGGTACCGGTTTAAGCAGTAGGTTTTGCCTTTTTACATTTTTTGCTACATCTCAGAAACTAGTTGATAGGTATACAATGAGGCCATTGTAGGGGAGTATAGCAGGCATGTGCACAAAACAAATGAATCGCAAGCTTTGAAATATATAGCCAGAAATTTGCTAACTTTCATACTTAGGGGCAAAACCAACTGCTAAAACCCATGAGACCTGTACCTACCTGCATTTCATGTGATCAAAGAGCAGAGTGATCTAGGCATTTTAACTCTTTGTTCTTTCCCAGTTCCTAGTTTTGTCAGACTCAATTTGTCTTACTATTTCAGTCTTTTAATGGCTAGGGCTTAGATAAAGTCAGTTTCTGGGGCTCTCTCTCTTGTGTTTATGCCATGAGTTATGTGCATTCATATTTTAGGCTTTTGCTCCAATTCAAGACTGGTTGAAGTCCCAAGAAGCAAGAGCTAAGGGGTGCTCTGAATATTTATTTTGGTTAGCCTGTAGTGGGTATGCTTTCCCAACACCAACATCCAAAGATTTCTTCTGAATCTGCCAGTGGCTTGGATAGGGGTTGGGTATCTATTTTATGCTACTTGAACTGGGCACTGACTTGGATAGGATCTGGGACCTGGTGATTTGACTTCCTTTATTGATATGGACCTATCTGTAGTGGCTCATGCTCAGCATTTCGCTTTTCTCTCCCATGTACTTATCTCCAGAGTATACATATTTTTACGAGCTGATTACAAGCTGATGGGCACAAAATGACCTTAGTAGTTGGCATGCTCTGAACCCCAATAAACAAACAATATAAGCCGATTATAATTGATTACACTTTTTCAGGAAAGGACAGCTTTTACAGTCATGTCTGAGGCACAAACTGCAGGGGATGCTGTGCAGGCCAACAGTTCACCTTCACCACTCCAGGATGGCCTGAGCACTGCATCCACGCCTGAGTCAGCAGTGCAGTCTTCTGGAGATGCACCCACACAGTCCGCTGAAAAAGACACAAAGCCTGTGGCATCTGAAGTGGAGCCAGTGCCTGTGTCACTGGCTAGTCACATGGCAGGAGATAAGGCAGAGCATGCTCAGCTGCAAGAAAAGCCTGATCTGCCTTCTGGTGGTTCTTTTGAGCCCCAGCCGAATTCAGACACCTCAGCAGCCAATGGTTCAGTTGATTCTCCCTGCAAGGCCGCTCAAGATAAGCCATCTTCTGAGCCCACAGATTCCCCAACCCCTGCCAAGCTTTCATCTGTGCCTTCAGAGAAGTCTGATTCCTCGCAATCTGCCGATGCTGCGTCTCCTCCAGCTGCCGTAGCCCCGCCCGCTAAAGCTCCTGCTGAAGCTCCTGGTGAAGCTCCTGCCGAACCTCCGGCCGCGCCCCCTGCTGAACCCCCCGCGGCACCTCCGGCCGATTCCGGCCAGGACGACTCCGGCTGTGACACGGAGCCGGAGCCGGAGCGGCAGTCGTCGGCGCCGGCGTCGATGGCCGAGCGGCGCGGCCCCGAGATGGCCGACGTCGAGAAGCTGGCGCGCTCGGTGGTCTCCGACACGCTGGAGAAGGCCAAGCAGGAGGCCAGCCTGCAGCGCTCGCTGGATAACCGGCGCCAGGACCCGGACACCGACGACGACGGCTGGCTCGACATCGTCGGCAACGGACAGCTGAAAAAGAAGGTGCGTATCGGGGTTTGGTTAACATAAAAGCAGTAGGGAATAGGGATGCTCTTGGATCTACAATGTATCGGTGAATCGTCGCGGTTATCGCAGGTGGTTATAATGTTGTGTATTTTGTGTATGTATATACATTCCCGGACCCCCTCCTTGCTTGCCACTCGGAGCCGTGGGTCCGACCGACTTATCCTTGGCAGGTGCTGTACCCCGGCAGGGGTGACACCTCTGACCGACCTCTCTGTGAGTTGACCGCGCTGACTGACTCCTCTCCTCCACAGGTGCTGACCGCTGGCCGCGGTGACCGCTCCGACCGGCCGCAGCGCAGTCAGCTGGCCTCCGTGCACCTCTCTGCCCACTTTGAGGACGGGCGGCCGGTGAGCGGTCTGCCCGAGCGTCTGACGTTCGGCCTGGGAGACGGAGAGGTGATCACCGGTCTGGACATGGCCGTGGGCCTGATGCAACCCGGAGAGACGGCCGAGGTCTACATGGACGCCAGGTGGGTGTCATTGAGGGGAGGGGGCGGCGGAGACGGCCGAGGTCTACATGGACGCCAGGTGGGTCAGTGTCTGGAAAGGGACGGGACAGCGGCAACGGAGGAGGCGAGATGGTGAAGAGGGCAGGGGCGCTCGTCGTCGAGAGTTAGTGGAAGATCATGACCAGGAAGTAAGAATGTACTGACTAGAGTAACTGAGTAATGTTTTAAGAAGTTTAGTAATTGTTTCAGTTCTACTGGTCTGATAATTATCAGCTGGCAGGGTCTGGTGCGCTTGACAAGGGGTTGGTGGAGGATATCTTGTTGACTGGCACCATTGTTTGCTATCCTCTTGATAAACGCCTGGTTAGACGCCTGACGTCTGATAAGAATGGGATAGTCCGCACTGGCAGGATCCCAGCCCAAAAGGCTAGACAGAGGACAGATCGCCGCTTGTTTATCTACGCGATACCGTTTGTGATGAATCTGCATCACTCTTTTGTAGATCCAGGATATTTTGTACACCCAACCAGTTTCACATGCATATTCGTTTTTTGAGCCCAAAAGGTCAACGGACGCTCAAGCTAATAGCTGATCCCGAATCATATTTCATTCCCCTCCCCCACCCTAACGTCTCGTTGCCCCTGCTGTCCTCTAACCAGGGACGTTCTTCTCTCAGGTTCGCGTACGGCGAGAAGGGTCTGGACGACTCTGTGCCGCCCAACACGAACCTGATCTTCACTGTACAGCTGGAGAGCGTCCAGCCGGAGCCCAAGTATGAGGAGATGAGCGCCGAGCAGCGCCTCGAGATCGGGTCAGTAAGGGACTCGGGGGAGGGGAAAGGTCGGGTCAGTGGCGGGCTCGGGTGGGATGATCGGGTCAGTGGCTCCCGACCATCCCAGGCACCACGCATTGGGAACGAATAGAAGCGCCATCTCGCAGAGTTGCAGACACAAATTTGCAAGCTTTGGTGTATGTATTACACTGCGGGCTTGTGGAATTACTCTCCATGGTCTGATGGTGCATGCCCCCTGCCACCATGTTACAATTTCCTCACTGTCACTGTTGCTTTATAATCCAACAACCCCTCTCTTCTCAGGAGTCAGAAGCGAGACCGCGGCAACTGGTGGTTCAAGCGTGAGGACTTCAACCACGCCATCCAGTGCTACCGACGGGCGCTGGACTTTTTCGACAACGAGTCTGATGAATTCACGGTACGTTCCCCGGGTGTGTGCGGGCGGTACGGCGCCGCCATCGACTGGGCGAGCCGGCTCGGAGTCTGTTCTGGAGCGTTCCGCCGCGTCGATACGTCGATAAGCCATACTGCCGCCGGTTTCCGGCGCTTATCGATCTAGTGCTGGGTTGGCTGTAATGTGTATGGCTAAGCGGAAGGTGCCA